TCCTGCACTCCAGTCTGGGCGACAGAGTGAGACTCCAACTCAAAAAACAAAAAACAAACAAACAAAAAAAACCAAAAAAGTATTTTAAATTACAGCTATATGGCATTCCTTGGATACTTCAGTTTCTGTCTTTAAGGACTTGAGGACGTTTTCTTTTATAATCCACTTAACAAAACTCATGCTCTTTGAAGTCATTCTATCCTCGGTTCATATTCAGTTTTCCTCAGGTGTACAGTCTTTTTTTATTTTTTATTACATAGATGTGGGGTACAGTTCAGGGCTAGGTATACAAGCATTGATTATGCAGGTACCCTTGTTGATGAGGTATGCCCCTCCTTCCCCTAGCAGTTTCCCTCGACTGCCAATCCCCTCCCACCCGCTGACAGTTTCCCTTTACTGCCAATTGCTTTCTTATAGTATTATAATTGTTCAAGGTCCGCTTATGAGTGCAAACATATGAGTTGTACAGTCTTTTTTTTTTTTTTTTTTTGTTGAGTTGGAGTCTCGCTCTGTCGCCCAGGCTGGAGTGCAGTGGCCGCTCTTGGCCACTGCAGCCTCGACCTGCTCGGCTCTGGCAATCCTTCTGCCTCAGCCTTCCAAGTAGCTGGAACTACAGGTGTGCGCTACCACGCCTGGCTAATTTTTTTGATTTATTGTGCAGATGAGGTCTCACCAAATTGCCCAGGCGGGTCTCGAACCCGGGGGCTCAGGCAATTCACTTACCTCGGCCTCCCAAAGCGCGGGATTACAGGCTGAGCCACCGAGCCCGGCCGAGCTGTACAGTCTTATTGGTCAAGTCAGGTTCCATTCCAGGACTAGGCATTGTGTGTGGTTACTATGTCCGTTGAGTCTTTTTTAGTCTAAAATAATCTCTTTTGGCTGAAGAGACTGTTCTGGAGAATTTGCTTCCTAGATTTGTGTCATTCCTCATGCTGCTAGCTGGAAGTTTGATTTAAAGTTTTGGATTCAACTCAAGTTGGAAAAGATTTTTTTTCCAAAGGTAAATGTTGTTTTCCCAATATTACATTACAGCAGGAGTCATGAGAGATCTTGGTTTTCCTGAAGAGCAGAGACTTTTAACTTGGAGCCTGTGGTGGGCTTTAAGGATCAGTGAATCCCCTGAAACTGCTTGTAAAATTGTGTGTGTGTACACACATATATTTCTAGGGAGAAGCTTCTAGTTTTTATCAGATTTTCATAAAGACCCTTGGCCTTCTAAGATATCTGGAACTGGTAGAGGAGGGAGTGGAGTTGGGTAAACTCTCAGGGTGCTGCAGGAGTTCATTCTTGCCTCGATCTAGAAAGAGCGGGCGGTTTATGATGAACTCTCAGCCAAGGCCCTTCATTTTTCTTGTTCACCTGATTATGGCAGTGTCCCTAGAGAGGGGCTGGCCGGGGTTCCAGAGCGGTGTTCTCTACTGTAGGATTGCAGTGCTCCTGCCCGTGGGTCTGGAGGTGGTGTAAGGAGGGGCGTTTTTCTCATCCTGCAAGCCCAGCATGCTCAGCATGACCAACTGGGAAACGTTGGTCTTCCTTAGGGGCAGGGCTATGCTTGCTAGCCCGCATCAAGGACTGAGCCAGCAGGGTTTGCTCCTCCTGTGACTTGAGTCTCTGGCCTTTCTTCCCTCCGGGGGTTCCATTTGTGTGTTTGCTGTTGGTGCTTGTGGTCTGCATCTGCAGCCTGCACTGGCTTCCATCTGTTCACTGGGGCGCGCTTGCTATGATGCTGCACCGACTTGTGTGTGTGTGTGTATGCTTTTGTGGCAGTGCACGAAAGTCAAATATATCTTACCATTCTCCATTTCCTCCACTGGTCTGTAGTGCTGCTTGGCACACTCATGTGTTAGGGTTTTTCCATTTTATGGGATTAGAAATGGAGGATGTGGTGGGATCGGTGAAAGCTGGGTAGGGGAGGGCATTGGACCAAAAGGCCCCAGAGCCTGCCGCCTCCTCCTCGCTGTTGGGGGAGGAGTGCTGGTTTGTGAAAGTGGCTGTCAGATTAGTTTGTGCTTTTGATGGTTCTTTTCTTAGTAAAGAGGATTTGGCTTTGAAGAGGGACCTAAGCTCGAGCTTTGGCTATTAAGTGTGAAGTCTAGAGCTGAGTAAATTGTCAAAAGATTTTCTTCTGGGATCCACTATTCTACGAGGTGGGTCTCTCGGGACAGAAGTGTCAGTAAAGACATTCGCTGGAGGGGAGAGGCCTTCGGATGGAAGTGACTTTAGTGGCGTGTGCTGTTTCCATTTCTCAAGTGGGGCTGGCGGTGGACCTGGCTTTTATTTTGCTTTTACCCAGGTAGCTGCCACCAGAGGTTCCGAGGTGCATTTCAGGGACAAGGCAAAGAGAGGCCATCTCGTTCCTTCACGCATCATTTTTATTAAAGAGCAAATGCTGCATGTAAATGAGTTAGCTTCATTTGGTAACTGAAATACCCCAGTTGGAGCCCAAGATCAATTCTGAAAGCTTTCCCTGCCAGCACCTGAAGCTGTTCATCTTCCTGACACCTGTCTCTGCCCCGAGGGCCTTCAGATGGGTCCGTGGCTTCAGTGCTGCACCTGTGCTTCTCTTCTCCGCATCAGGGACTTAGCCAGTAGTGTTTGCTCATTGGTGACTCCAGTCTCTAGCCTTTCTTCCCTCCGGGGGTTCCATTTGTGTGCTTGCTGTTGGTGCTTGTGGTCTGCATCTGCAACCTCCACTGGCTTCTAGCTGTTCACCGGGGTGCGCTTGCTATGATGCTGCACCGACTTTCATCTTCAGTTTTTAATATAGTAAATGGGCTGGGCGTGGTGGCTCACGGCTATAATCCCAGCACTTTGGTAGGCTGAGGTAAGAGGATTGCCTGAGCCCGCTGGTTCGAGGCCAGCCTGGGCAACTTGGCGAGACCTCAGCTCTACGTTAAAAAAAAAAATTAGCTGGGCATGGTGGAGTGTGCCTGTAGATCCAGCTACTTGGAAGGCTGAGGCGGAAGGATCACCTGAGCCCAGCAGGTCGAAGCTGCAGTGACCATGAATATGCCACTGAACTCCAGCCTGGGCGACAGAGTAAGACTCCAACTCAAAAAATATATGTATATATAGTAAATGAAATCTTTATTGTTCTTTTGAGTTATTATATGTTCAAAGTAAGCTCTCAAACTCTCACAGTTACAGACATAAGATACAGTCACAAGTGGGGCCAGGAAGTCTATACTTTGGGCTTCCCTTTGAAAGTTTGGGCCCAAACTTTACCTGTATGATGACCACTTGTATACCTAATCCTGAATGGTACCCTACATCTTTAAAAAAAAAAAAAAAAAAAAAAAATATATATATTTTTTAAAAGTTCACACTTTGTTCCATATTCAGTGTATCTTGTGCAATGAGTGTATGTTTTTATGAAATGATAAGAAGGAATAGAGGAAAATATTAAAGAAAGTTTGCCGGCTTTACTTCTTAAGGAGAATACGGCCTTCAGCATAGGTTGAACAGTATTCACTGGGCTCTTAACTGGTGTTGTATAACTGATTCTTCTGGGCGGGGCACAGTGCCTCACACCTGTAGTCCCAGTACTTTGGGAGGCTGAGGTGAGTGGATTGCCTAAGTCCAGGGGTTTGAGACCAGCCTGGGCAACTTGGTGAGACTTTGTCTCTACAGTAAATCAAAATATTAGCCACATGGGGTGGCACGCACCTGTAGTCTCAGCTATTTGGAATGGTGAGGTGGAAGGCTCTCCTGAGCCCAGGAGGTTGAGGCTGTGATGAGCCATAATCATGCCCCTGCACTCCAGTCTGGGCGACAGAGTGAGACTCTTACTCAAAAATAAAAAAATATGGCCAAATGATGACACAGCCTGTAATCTCAGCACTTTAGGAAGCTGAGGTGAAAGGATTGCCTGAGCCCAGGGATTTGGGACCAGCCCGGGCAACTTGGTGAGACCGCATCTCTACAATAGTAAAACTAGCTGGATGTGGTGGCATGCATCTGTAGTTCAAGCTACTTGGAAGTCTGAGGCAGAAGGATCGCCTAAACCCAGCAGGTCGAGGCTGTGGTGGCCGTGAGTGTGCCATTGCACTCCAGCCTGGGCAACTGAGTGAGACTCCAACTCAAAAAAAAAAAGATTCTTTTTCCTTCTCAGAGAAAGTCCTACAAGTCTTCCAGTTGTCTCACCCCGTGTGCTAATGTGGTCCTTAGCTCCTCTCTGGTCACCTGTCCACGTGAGGCCCCTCTTCATTCCTCCTTGACTCTGTTCTAAGTCGCTGCCTCTCCTGCTCTGATGTCCCGCCAGTCCCTTGCGCTGCCCCTGCTCCTCTCCTCCGGGCGGAGCGGCCATCACAGTGATGGACTCTCTGTGTTGCAGGTGGCAGATGCCCTTGTGCTCCTTGCTAACCTGCCTGGGCCTCAACATCGTGCTCCTCACCTTGAACGAGGGTAAGAACTGCTCCTGTGGCCCGCGGGTTTTGTGGGTGAACATGGAGGAAGAACCCAAGACGCTGCCCTGTGTGCGGGACCCGCCCTCCCCGCCCTGTGGGTGGCTTCCCTCTGTGCTTGGGGTCAAAACACAGGCTCCAGGGAGGCCATTGCGCAGGGCTGCCTGGTTGACCTTGGGCAAGTGATTGAACCCCCCTGTTAAGACCTGCTTTTCCTCATCTCTGACGGGAGCATGATAATAGTGCCTTCTTCAGAGGGAAAGTGAGGGGTGAGGTGGTCTGTGGGTAACACAGTGCCTGGCGCAGACCTGACTGCTGAGGCACTGAGCCTTTTCCATTTTGGTGTCCAAGCTTATTCAGGGGTCACCTGGGGACATGGTGTGGGGTAAGGGAACTGGGCAGAAGAGCTGTTGAGGGCTTTTTGCCACATCCGTTGATTCCCTCCGATTCAGCAAGGGAGCCCTGTGGGAGCTGCTGGCGGTTCCCAACAGCAAGAAGTGACATGTCCCCAGCAGCGAGGAGCGGCTTGAGGCCTCTGAGGTTGACGCGTGGACATGTGTCTGTCTGTAGGGCCTGGGGATGATGCCGTCTCTGGATCTTGTGTAAACACGTGTGCCCTGACCCAGCCCTATCCCTGGTTGGAACTGGCAGATGGCTACTCAGAAGGCCAAACCCTTCAGGGGATATGAGTGGAGGGTGTGGGACAGGACAGTCCAGGAGCCGCTCCCTGTTCACCTCCTTCTGCTTATGTTGCGCTCGTTGTTTCCTGTGGAGACAGAGTTTTTTCAGTTGAAGTAAACTCAGTACACACAAGCTCACGTCTTTTCTGTCCCGATTGGCCTCCTTTCTTCTTGAACCAAACTTCTGGGATGTTAGATTTTCTGCTTATGCTTCCAAAGTAAATCAATTCACGTGACAGATGGTGATTTTCTTTTTTTTTTTGAGTTGGAGTCTCACTCTGTTGCCCAGACTGGAG